GGGCCCGGGAGCGGCGGCCAGGCCCATGGCGAGGGGCGCGGGGCTCTGCCCGGGCCGGGCCGCGGCCAGTGTGCACGGACCTCTGGCCTCTGGGCCCCAGGTATCGGGCCGACCGAGTCCCTCAACTCCTCCACCTCTCAGCCGGCAAGCCCAGACCTGGAGAGGCCGGGAGCCAGCCCAGGAAGGAGAGAGAGGCGGCAAGCCTGGCCTGGAACACCCCGGAACGGCGGCTGGGGAGCCAGCCAGCCGGGGCAGCACCCGGAGCTCTCAAAGAACAGGAAATTCCAGCCCAGAGCTCCTCCTAGGACTGGGGCAGGTAGGTGAGGAGCTGTCATTAGGAACAAGACAAATAACTGTGCTCAGTGACACAACATACTGGTCCCGTTTTGGAGAAAGTGGGCTACTATATTTCCTCTTTCTCCAAAGGAAGAACAAGCAGAAGGTGATACATGAGGGTGGGAATTCTTAAGAGCCTAGACACGAGCAGAGAAGAGTTGGGGTGAGAGAGGTGCCAAGACACACGGAGATCTCCAAGAAACCAGGAAGCAGAAACTGAAGAGACAAGGACCTTCCTCCAGAGCCAACAGAGAGAGAAAGCCTTCCCTAGAGCCGGCACTCTGAATTTGGACTTCTAGCCTCCTAAACTGCGAGAAATTACATTTGTTTGTTAAAGCCACCTATTTGTATTTCTGTTACAGCAGCACTAGATAACTAAGACGGGAATGAAGAGGAACTTTGTGATTCCAGATTCATGCTTTACAGGATAACGCCTCCTCCTTAGGTAGTGAACAACAGAATATTTGCTTCCCATATCCAGAGCCATTCAAAAGGCAAGCCCGGTGCCACCTCTGGGCCTCAGTCTCATCTGTAAAATGAGGAGTCTGAATGTGGTGGTCCCACCTTGGATACCCTTCTGCTCAGCCACCCCGAGGCCTGAAAACTTGCTGAGAAGAGCTGCTTGATGCTCGCGCAGGCTTCTGTTAATGACTGAGGCGTCTTTTCCTTTGGTGATTATAAAGTCCCAAAGATACTCATCTGTCTGGGCTGGGTTAAGGGTCCTGCCAATTGGCAGGAGAAAATCAAAACATAACATCTGTGAGGAATGACTCACTTCTGAATCCTGGAGTCTCTGGTTTCTTGCTGCTCCCTGGGCCTTAACCTACTGTCCAGATGTCCTGGCTGGAGTCTGACCCTCACTCTGTAAAGGAGAACACTGCTCTTCCAAGCACAGACGCCCTCCCCATTCAGGACTGCACCAGACAGTGAGTCCATGGCCTGCCCCAGAATGGGGCAGGGAGCCTGTGTTTGATTTACATTGCATTTGGAACATAAGTCATCTCCTAAAGCACTGGAGATTAACCAGTTTGCCATAATCCACAAAGTGAGAAATCACTGCTACTTCAGCCCCAGGAGCCAATCAGGAGGAACCAGTTTAGGCAGTAGCAAGGGATGAGGGGGTGTGCATTTCCCTTAAAGAGACAATACTCCCCGGGTTTCTTCCACCTCTAGTCTAACCCAATTCCCAGTGTCCTTTTCAGCTTTAGAATTCCTGCTTCTGGTCAGAAGCTAACTACTATCAGAGTGGCACATTCCTGAGGGCCTCGGGTAGGGGAATGCCTAAAGAAGGCTGGGCCTCTCCACGGAGGTGCTCCTGCAGAAGTGAGGGCTGGAAACGCACAAGTCCTGGTCTGGATCTCCCGGGCCTGGAAAGGCCCCGGGGGGACTTTGTATTTCTCTGGGACTAGTTATTAACAGTGGTCAGGTCGCTTCTTACTCTCTGGGATAGATATTCACCATGTAATAGACAGTTCAGCAGAAGGGCCTTTCCCAGAGTCCTTGGGCAGGCATGGAGACAAGAGCACAGCCCAGGACTCTCCGCCTCGACCTCCCTGTCTGCATACCTGTCTGTCTATCTGCTCATTCACAAGCCTGATTCTCTACAAGCCTGAACATGCAGTCTTGGGGACTGAGGGGAGGGCAGTAGATAAGGTGCCCAACAGCGGCAGGTTGCTTTAGAACTGGGATGGCCTCCAATGATGAGGCTCCAGCCTCCTGTGGGCTGGGCCCTCTCTCCTCCGCAGGCCACTCTGGGTGGGAGCACAGCAGGATGGGATAGAAAAGAAAAGGGCCCCCAGCCCCAGGCATGCTGGCACACGCACATACACAGGTCTTGGGGAAGGCAGGCAGCAGTGCCTGGTCTTAGAGGTGAGGAAACATCTACTGTCTCAGAAGACATACCGGCAGAATCAGTCCACGCAGGAAGCTCAGCCTGGGTCAGTTCCCACACTTGGAACAGCTTCCTCTTCCTCATGTGGCTGCCTCTTCCTTCCTACCCCCTTTTTCCCAGAAACCTTTTCTGACCCAGGGAAACTAGACAGGGAATGGCACCTGCTCAAACACAAATGTCGCAGGGCATCAAGTCAGACACCCCAAAAGGAGAACAGCCACAGGCACACACCTCTTTTCCTCTGGCATCAGGCCAGGTGAGGGGCTAGGTCTGTATTCTGTTTTACTAGATTCTGCTCCAAGAACCTGCAGCAAACACAGCACCACACTACATAGCCCTCACCTACTGGCCTGAGGGAAATCAGGACAGCCTAAGGAGCTCCAGGCTGGCCACATACATGCTGTACAAACTCCATAAAAGCCGCTCTGTGGCCACTCCACGTGTCAGAAGGCCGTCAGAAGCATCAGGCCAAATCTGTCACTCGGGGGCTGAGAGACTCGAGGGAAGTTACTGGGGGATTGTTGTTGTTAGCTGCCGGTGAGTCAGCTCTGACTCACGGTGACCCCACGTACAACAGAAGGAAATGCTGTCTGGTCCTGCACCACCTTCCTGATTTTTGGTATGTTCCAGTCCACTGCTGCGGCTACTGTGTAGTTTGAGTGCCTTCCAACCTAAGGGGCTCATCTTCCAC